TACGCCGCACTATCTGTAGTATTACTATAATAATAATAATAATAATAATAATAATAATAATAATAATCACTAATGGGCGATATGCACGTGTATTACGCATGTATGCGTGACGTGTGTACGTATGCATTAGGTATAAGCGAACGATACACGCTTTGCGGGAATGTTGCGTTGCATCGCGTCGCGGCAGAGAAATCGATGCGGCGCCAAGCTGCGAGTCAAGCCGCGCCGCGCCGCGCTGCGCTGCGTTGCGTTGTTGCGGTTCCGTCGGCGCGACGCTCGACGGCGGGACGGACGCGAGCGTCGTCAAAGGCTAACGTCATTGACGTAGTTCTCTCGAAGGGACGGCTCACCCGTCGCGAAAGGAGCGGCTTTCGGGGAAAGTCTCGCCGCATATGACGCGGCGCAGCGCGGTACGGCGCGGCGCGACGCGACGTGACGCCGTGCGTCGAGCCTGCGCACGCTAGGACGCGCAATGCGACACGCGATAGAGCGGGACGGCGAAACGGTACGACCGCGGTAATCTCGTTACGGCGAGGAAGAGGGAAAGAGCGAACGAGAGGACGAAGGCGGGCGGGAGCGCGAGAACGGGGGCGTCGAGAGTTGGGGACGCTTCGGTACCGGGGTGGGTTTTCTCAGGGTAGATAGGTGGGTGGATAGGTAGGCAGGCAAGCTAGGCAGGCGAGCAGGCCAGGTGGAGGTAGGGAATTTAATAGGAGAGCCGCAGTAAAGAATGTTAATTTTACCGCGTAATGGCATCGGTCTCTCGCACGGTCACGCTATCGCCCGTTAAAAATTGATATTCCTCCGCGTCCTTGCGTGAAAGAAAGGGATAGGAGAGGTACGGCGACGGATCACCGACGAGGAGAGAGAGGGAAAATGGAATTCCGTTTGTTGCGCAATATATCCCAATACTCAGGCGCGGTATAAGGGAGAGAAAAAAGGAAGGAGAAGCGCACGATGTGCGGCGCGGGATAATTTCTGGGAAATTCGTATTGTTCGCGATTCGGTCGACGATAAAGGCCCTTTCCGCGTAGCATCGAATATCCGATCTCGACGGAACCGTACCGTTAAAATTTCAAATTGTTTCAATCTCCGGTTAGAAGCGACGTTCAGCTCAGGGAGTGGGATGTGAGCTATGCACGTTTTTTGACGTCAAACGTGAATAAAAAAAGAGAGCGAAACAAGAAAAGAATACGCAACGCAGGGAGAGAGAGATACACAACAGTACAAAAAAAAAGATACATAAAACGCATATGCATTATATACACAAAACTGGGCGCGTTCATAGTATTCTTTATTTAAAGAATACTTGTACAATGCGAGGGTTAGTATGGAGCAGAGAATGGATATAGCTTTAAACGTATAAATGCGGAGGAGAGAATATAAAGCA